GGGGTCAGAACAGCTCAGTATTTTTAAAAAGTGGAAGAAAAGTCATGGCACAATATATTTAGTGGCATTTATGGCAATACTTAAATATCTACTAATACTGTTCAGTCACAGTGCATTATACCAAAGTTACGAATTTATATTCTACATTACATCTTGCATCTTCTTACAATTAGTTTGCTTTTGAAGGAATAATATCACAATAGATATGACCAATATTGAATTGCCCTTTGTTCCCACTGAAAATCATGAAGTGCAAGTATCTTAATATGGATTTACCTCAGTGATTTTTATCACTTTTTCTATGTGGGCAAAAAAATAAAGTCCTATATTAAATTCCTAGAGGATATATAAAAAAGGGACAGATGCCAAATAACTCAACTTACCAAATTAAAAAAAATCTGTATCCAGTAGTACAGTCACATTGCTTCCCCCCGTTCAAAAATTAGAAACTCTTGTTCAATTCTAAATATAGCACCATTTTTACTTCTTTATAGATTACTTCCCCCAATCAGAATTATAGTAAACTGCATATAAAAAAACCAAACAAGTCAACTTTATGCTACAGGGAAAAGCAACCATCCCTCTTCCCCAGTCTTTGATATTTTCACTCACACTGCAATAGATTTTCACATGGAAATTGGTTTTGTACAAATCTTGTTCCTTAAACAAGCCATGTTGGTTATATTATTTAATCATCTCAAAAATAATTTTGAAAATTGAAGATGTATGTTTGCAGTTCAAGGATCTCTTCCTTAAGCTCGGGGTAATCATGAAACAATGATTCTCATGTTTCTTCAAACTGCAAGAATATAGGGGTATAGTTTAACCAAGAGCTCTTCATCAAAACTCCCTGCATAGAAGTATTAACAAACATAAAATAGATATCTAACATATTTTAACTCTCCTTGCCATGCTGATTACTCTACAAAATAAGATGCAAAACAAAAAACTCAAAATCCCAATACAAATTGACAAGCACCTTCTTTGCATTCTAAAGTGGCACAATCCCAGAGAAATTGTTATCTTGAGAGAATCTATGGCATTGTGCATACTGTACATCATTCTTATACTGTTATTACTCTTCTTATCTTGAGAAACTCACCTAAAGATAACTGATCCTATTTTAGAAGGGAATAGTTTTTTTATACGGCAATCACATACCCTTCTATGTAGCCCAGATGCCCTCGTTCTTCCTTTTATTCTAGAATTATCTTGGAGAAAGTTCAGGAAATTGATACTGTAGTTGCCTAACAACTGCAGCCTAGATTCTTTCAACACCCAGTGAAGAGAGAAAATACCAATCAATTTTAAGACTAAAGGTTAAGACTGGAGATAGGGTAACCAATAAATGCACAGATTCATATACACTGGGTATTACCATATTTGATCCTCAATAGAAGATGATTCAACCCACCAAGTTCCCTCTTTCCCAGCAACTTTTAATTTGGGTGAACCTGGAAGTTTCCTAGTTGAGCTTCACAATCCAAGAAAATGGCAGAAAAGGCACTCAATGAGTAGTAATCAGGCAGGACATGGAAATCCCACCGTGGAATATGACCGATCTAGATGCTTCTGTGGAGTGGTTGAAGAGCCATCAGGAAATGCGTAGGAGCAAGTCACAATATTGTTGAATATGACCATCCATTTGTGTCCCAATCCCCAAGTTGCTGCAATGATCTCAAACTGTCCTGTTCCCAGAATCCCTAGGAACTGAATCTTGCCGTCCATGGCTTCCTGGAGAGAAGAGTTTCCGATGCAGGCTCCACACCCAACGCTAAAAAGAAAAAGCAAATCAGACTCTAGAAATTCATCACAAAATTTAAATATGTCTGTTGAACACTTATTCTTCCCTTTCAAGTTTTCAATCTGCACATCTCTACTTTATATTTGAATCTTTAAAATCCATTCTGACCTTATGAAATTTAATATGAGTTTAATTCTTAATACCATTATGCATTAAATAATACATAGCACTAACCAACATGCAATTAGAAAGCAGCACTTTGTAGCACTTTTTTTTTAGTATCCATAGCATTTCAGCTTGGTTGCTTTCTAACTTGATCTCCTGCAGATGTGTTCCATTTCTACTCTCATCAGCTACAATCAGCATCAGCAAGAGATGATGAAACTCGCAGTACTGGAAGGCATCAAGTTGTTCACTATGTTACAACAACTCTGCAAGATTGGTTGGTATTTCATTATCCAGACGGAGGGCTAGAAAACTCAGCTCACACTGTTAGCCATTATGTTAGCCAGCTGCATAGATATTAGAGGAATTTTAAACAGCAATAGTGATATAAAGACAACTGCATGGCAGTGGCACACAGGACAGAGAAGCTATGGGACGGTGGAACACAAAAGGAAGAGCACCTGGACACAGAATCACTCATTTAACAGGGATGAAGCAGACATCCTGAAGTATCCCTGTAATATAGACTGAAAGAAAGGCTCTTGGGAATATTATGTGCTGCAGCTTCAGGGAAATGGGGATGGCAGGGAGCAGATACAGGAACGGAGTGGGAGGTTGCACAAAGGCAGAAAAGTTTGGCAGGTGGCTGTACCTGGCCGCCCCAACCTCAGAGTGGGGTCACTGGTTCGTCAGCAATGCCAAAGCTCTGGCAAATAAAGAAAAAAAACAAAAGCCTTCAGGGATGACCTAATGAACCCTGGAGAGGAAGGGGTGAAATAGCTGAATCATACTATTTGGAACACAAAACACATAACTCTTAAAATAGCCAGAAGGGTACCAATAGCTGAAAGATGGTCTTTCACAACTTTGTGATGGGACAGAAATGGCAATGGTAGGTGAAAAGACTTGGGGGCACCCTTTCATTCGGGGCAAGTCACATTCTTAATAATGATTTCTATAATCAACAGATTCAACTGCTAATAATTTCTCTGATTCACAGTATTTCAGGCCGTAACCACTTCTCCCCAGGGAATGAGGTGGGGTCACTTCCAAGGGATCTTGATTATAATAATGAGATGTCTAGGTTGAGACCCTCCCTCTGTATGTTTTTGAAAGCAAAAGTTAATTCAAGTAGAACGCCAGTCTAGCACAATTTCCCTTTCCCCACATATAGCCTGAAATAATACAGTCAAGAAAAAGTATCAAATTAATGAAAGAACTCAAATTACAAATCCTATCACCAAAAAACATTTCAACACTGAATAAACTCACCGACTGATGTTGTCCTAAAGCAGAGCTGCTGCCAGGCAGTGAACTTCTCCCCTGCCTAAGTGGTTCATGGTGGCTTGGGGAGGTTCCCTCTGACCCAGAGGTGTGAGCTGAGAGGAACACAGAACATAGTTAAGTACCAGTAGAAGCAACTACTAGTCTCTTGAGAGGGTTGATAGAAGAATAGTGATGCTACCTCTCGGGATGGGCTTGACATCTAAGTCCCATTCCTCTTCCTCAAAGTGGCCAGGGAGTGATAAACCAGGAGGGGGACCAGGGCCAAGGCCCAGAGGAGCTAAGCGCTGAGAAGGGCAGGAGGACAAGCTCATTGAGACACTTGGCTGGGCAGCTGAAAAGTGAGAGGAGGGAGAAAAAAAGAGAGACAAACATCCAAGGCATTTTGATTCAGTACCCCTGTCCTTGAGAAGACCTCTCCCTCTAGTGTTTGTTCCCATCTCATTAACAGAAAATGTTATTTCAACCACATTTTTGTGGCCTTTCTCCATTTTAAACTCATGTTAATAAGGCGGGGGGAATATATTTTTTTGGTCCATTCTTTGCTTTCTGGTTACAGAGAAAAATGTTCTGAGATTGATCCACCAGTTTTCACTGTTTGCAGATCTATTTCCACTCTTCTCTTCCCTGCAATTTTTTTTGTGTATAGTAAAGGCAATGGCTACATTTACTTAGAGTTAATGCATCACTGCACTGTCTGTTCCAGTTTGCTTGTTACTGCTTTTTTATCTTATCAGTTCTGAAGCAGCCAACTGCCTGGAATGTAAGGCCCCATCCATAAACATGCAACTCCCACTCCTTCAAAAACAAAACAAAGGGAATGTATCAAGATTAGGCCTATCTAGAAACCCCAGTCATCATGATGCTGGAAATCAAATGACATCATCAAAAGTGTACCTTTGTTTCAAACTCACTTGATCACACAAAGTAGCACTTGTTTTGTCTGACAGATCTAGTTCTTTAAACTTATGGGGGTAATGATACTAGAAAACTGCATTGATTGTCTTTCAAAATAAAATTATTGTTAATCTTTGACATAGATTTTATGCAACTATTTATCACTTTCTTTTCTTTCAAGAAAAAAGATTTTAAGAACCAGAAGCCTCCCTCCCAGCAAAACATTCCCCTATTTAGCTGACCATCCTCAGTTAGGCATGCTCATACCTTGTCTCCAGAGGAGTTGGGCTATAATATTTGTCCACTGATGCTTGACTTCAGCAGAGGCCGCTTGCAATGTATAGGCCTGTCGGGATGATCCCCTTCCGAACCAAAGCTCAAAACGTAACCCACTAGAACCAACACTCTCTGTCAATCCCATGGAAGCAGTCTATATGAAGACAGAGGAAACCATAGAAAATGTGGCAGTGTACACAGTTCATAGTCGGACGCAATGTAGTTTGACTTTTATTTAACTGTTCTGCAGCTTCAATCAGTTATAACTTATTCAGTAAATCATTATTAAACACATTGCTCACTGCAATATAATGAACCAGGTCTCTGAGTAAACATTGTGGCACCATCTGAAACAGGAAGTAAGTCTACATACAAAGCTGAGACAGGTGATCCTGGAAAAAAGGGAGTTTTCTGGTTGGAAAGATCTTTCATCAAGAATTGTAATTTTATTCCCTCTTGTCAGCTGAGCTATTGGTGACTTAATCAGACCCTTTCTTCCCCCCGCTTTTTATTTTTCTCCCCAATCCTTTTTCCCCACACTGCATTTGCAGTGGATTTCAGCCATTTGTCATGAGCAAGTCTGACAATTATGTTTATTTATGGAAAGGATAATTAAAGCCATTTCATTCCAGATAATAATTTCATCAGTGTGGATCAAAATAGCCCCAAATTGTACTTCTATCCCTAAAGCCTGGGAAAATATTATTCAATATAATCACTTTACTTACCTGCAAGGCCTGTTTGCAGACATAGCCACCCTCAGCTCCTTTGCATTTGGTAAAGAGTAGCAACTGTTCAAATAGGAAAACATGCCGCTGGCATTTACGGCGTCCGGACAACAGAATGAGTTCACCACGCTGAAGCAATGTCCCTTGTTCTGACAGTCTCATCTGCAAAGGAGCAGGAACACACGTGAAACTACGGTTGCCATTCCGTCTCAGAAGAGTGAGGAGAGTGTCAGTTCCCCCAATTTGCCCACCAGGATTTTTGTGTTTACTATTAAGCATTTAGAGCTTTGCAAAATCCAAGAAGATCAAGAGTTTGGCAACAGCACAGAACTTTGCAAGTGTCAGAAAAGATTAAACTGGTGGGTTTAGACAAGTAGCATAGGAGGAAATGACACATGCACAGTAAGCAGCAGGAAAAATGCAGCACTATGTGATGGAAGCACCCATGTGCTCACCTCGCAGCCTCGGATCTGCTCTATGGCCAGCAGGTCTCTGCCTCGCTGCTCCTGTGACTCCAGCAGTTGCTGGGCCTCCTGTAGGGTTTGGCGGTCAGGCCCCTGCTCGAGCTCACATTCATGTAGAAGTTCACCTAGGAAGCGCCGGTACCGCTCCAATTGCTCCAGAGGCACCTGCAAAGTGTGTGCTATCTGTCCATCCTCACGTGGCTCCATCAGACCTTTCTGCAGGAAAGAGAGGATAAAAGCAGAAGGCTAGAATGAAACACTGGAAACAAACCACTTGGGTGTTACCTGTTATACCATCGTTTCCTGGAAATCTCGTCATCCAGATCTCTACAGTGAATGAAACTATACAAATGTCTCAAAGTCAAGCTTTTGGGGGGGGGGAGATGGCCAGCAGGCTGTGCATCATCAAATTCTCAATGCAACTATAAATATGCCAACTTCAAGGACACCTGATCTAATGAGTAAAAAGGGCCTCTTATGAACAGAAGCAGTTTCTTTAGCAGTTGAGCGATTCATCCGGCCTTAAAAAATAAAAAGGGAAATTCCATCTGTCTGCCACGTGGCCGCAGCTCATTTACCTTGCCAGTGCTCCGAAGCAAAGCCAGGGCAGCGTGGAACTTGTGGTGATCTTTGGCATAGATTGCATACAGTTGCAGCTCTTCTCTCTGAAGGTAGGAAAGAGAGAGAGAGACAGGGGGACAGAGACTCTCTCATTCATCAGTGGAGCAACAGTCAGGCAAATTGCAGGAAAACTAGCTATTGGAACAGAGCAAAATCATCTCTCTAGCTTGGGGGACAACATATGCTTATTTTTTCCTTTCTTCCTTCCATTCTTTATAACAGGACAAATGTTATCCCTGAGAAAGCTCAAAACAAGGACTACCATCTTTCTCTCAGCCTTGCTGCTTTTGAATTCCATGCACTAATTATGAAATTAACATTCCTTATAAATTTATTTCCATGCTAATTAAAGCTTGGCTTGATAATTTGTATTATCAGACTTTTAAAGGCACAGGAGAAAACATTTTAATAAAATGATAGGCTCTTTGAAAAAAAGAGGTCTTTTTATTAATGGAGAGAAGCAAAAACTTTATAACAGGCATGTAGGTGAAGGTTTCCTGTAGTAGAACAATTAAACAAAGAACATGGAGAACACGAGAACTAAGGCAAAGTATAATTCTGAGAAAGCAGAAGGGCAACACTCTGAATCAAGAGAGACTTTCCCAAACAATTAACTAGAAAGAAAGGCAGTTTGGCATTATTGTGCTTTCTGAATATCCTTTAAAAAATGAAGATAAAAACCCATTTTTTTAAATAAAAAAGGGGGGGGCTTTTACTTAGCTTTTCAAAGATGGACGGCCCTGCATTTACTTGGAACCAGACTGATATATCTCCAGGAACAGTGGCTGGCTATCCTGCTGCTGTATTGAAGACTGAGGTTGTTTACTTTTTATCAGTTTGAGATAATTTATCCTAGCAGCTCCCTCTGGATATAGTGCAACCATTATAAATATGAAGCAGTTGCCAAGCATCCAAATTTTTATCGTATGACCATGGGGATGTTGCAATGATCATGTGAAAAACTGTCATAAGCCACTTTTTTTTAGTGCTATTATAACTTCAAACGATCACTAAATTAATGGTTGTAAGTCAAGGACTGTTGGGAGTCATGCTCTACTCAAAGGAGATTTTACCTGTTATTAAAGATTTATGTATGGACATTTTAAAAGCCAGGATGATTCACTGGCACCAGATCCACCTGAGCTACCATTCTCCTCAATCCAACCTACCACCAGTTGTTGTGGGAAAAATAGGAGGCGGCAATGCTATATTCCCCATTTTCAGCTCCTATACAAAGGGGGGATATAAATAAATATTGTTGATTTTTAAAAAGATGTGGCCCTACACACAAAAGCTATTGGGAAGCTATGCTCTCTTCCCTAAACTTTGGCATCACTGAAAGACTCTTAGTTTCTAATGGTGAGAAAAGGCAACTCTATATGCTCAGAGGAAATCTCTGCTTCACTGCTACTTCACATATGCCAGAACATTTTTTAAAAAGCATTTCAGAACTAAGAGATGGTCATGTGGTTAAGGAAGCTTTGCCAGTAGATGGGTGAGAAAGGAAGGAAAGAAGGGGGTGGAATTCTGACACAGGAAATGGGTCCCAGCATGCAGCAGGTGGAGTAGCAGCTGAGGAAAGGAAGCACTCACATGGCGCAGGAAGCAGCTGCCAGCGCGTGACGGGTGGCTCATGCATCCCTCCAACTCGCTCAGGAGGCAGCTGGAATGGAAGGCCAGCAGCCGGTCCCGTGTGGCCCGGAGAGCACTGCCCAGGCATCTTAACTCAGCTGTCCAAGCATGTCCCCCGAGCTCCTGAGACAGAGAGAAGGGCTGGGTAAGGGCACCCACATATTCCCGCTCGCACTCCAGAAGCTCAACCAAAAGCTGTTGTTGGACCCTGAGGAGAAAGAAGAAGGAATGGTCACATTCAAAGTCACTCAGCCATACTTGAACCATCTGGTGACAGCCAAATCTGTTAAGCGAGGAATGCTACATCTGGCAACGGAACATCAGTGCAAGGATTATCAGCTGCTTCTGTCACAGACTGCTCCCCCCCCAAAAAAAACATTGTGCAATCAGTGTTTTGAACCATGCTGCAGATCTATAAACATATAATTTCATTTTAATTGGTGTGATTCTGGTTCAAAGTGCCTCCAGGTTGTTTTATATGTTTAAAATATTTATGTACTGTATCACCTGTCACATGGTAGTCCGTACAGTGTTTCTCCAAGCACTACGCAAAATTTAAAATGCATTTGATTGCACTGGGATGTAATGAAAGCATATATATAATAAAGCAGAGAAGAGACTTCAAATCTTGCACGAGTATAATATCTCACTGCTATTCATTAAAGCAGCTCATCATTTTTTAAATTTCTGTGCCAGGATGGGGAAAAGATGTAGCTGTTTTCAGATTAGCAATTAGCTAGCTCTTTAAGATAGCAGCATACTTTTTTTTAGGTTTGTACAGAAATCTAAAATGCAATGTTGCTTTAAAGAATAGCAGAGAAGTGCTGCTTTCAGCAATACTTTTCTAAACATGTACAATCATAATGCAGAATAGGAACATACAAGAAGACCAGGAAATAGTATAAAGGATAGTACTGTAAAATGTTTATTACGTTATGATGGGGCTGACCAATGTGGTAGCTGATTAACTATTGACAATAGATTTTGGTCACCTCAGAGTTGGCAGAATGAAGGATAGTTTATATTCTCTCTCAAGGACAGCTCAGTATCAACTTTGCAGAGCAAGCTTCCACAAAAAGATGTGTTAATAACCGAATCTATGACAATGAACACTTCAGAGGATAATTTTTTAGAGGACTAGGTTCCATGTAAATGACAGAGTAACCAAGGTGCAAGAAATCACTTAGGTCATGAAATCCAACTCCCTACTTAATGCTAGAATATAATTTTAACCCTCTCTGAAAGAGAGTTGTCTAGCCTTTGCTTGAATATATTTAGTGAAAGAGAATTCACAATTTTTCTGGGCAATTGTTTTTGCTCTATTAGGTAGTTTTTTTTTTCTTTAACATTCAATTGGAATCTGCCTTATGAGTTGAATTCATTATTTGGTATCCTGCATTCAAGACTGATGGAGAATGTGTTAAATTTTCTTTGGTATGATAATCCTTTCAAGTTATTCTTTCATACTATCCTATTCTTCCCCCTCATACTTCTCAAGGCTAAACATTTCCAATTCCTTCAATGTCTTTTCTTAACACTTTATTTGAATTCCCCGAACAACCTCATTGCTCTTATCTGAATGTGTTCCAGTATGTCTGTTTCTTAATGTGGTGCCCAGAGCTGGATACAATACCTGAAGCCTGACTAACACAAATCTAAGCAATGTTCATATTGAGGTGGAAAGAACCATTTAGCCCACCAAGGACAACTCCAGTGCTCAGTGCAGGAATCCAAGTTAAACCACCCCGACAAATATTCATCAAGCTTATGTCTGAACATCCAGCACAAGGAAGCTCTGTAGGTAATTGGTTCTGCTGTGGAATTGCTCTTATTTTCTGAGAATTACCTAATATTCAAAGTCTTGCTCCCTGAAGCTTAAAAGCCATTATTATACTACCCTCTGATGTGACAAAGAAGAGGTCCTGAAGGGAAGAAGCCATTTAAAGTTTCTGTTCTGGCACCGGAATATCTTGAATCAAACCTTCTAAAAAAATTTTTTTTTAAATGAAGCCGCTAGGCAATCAGCAACTTTTTAATCCTACCATTCTGTTGTGGAACAACTAAGCAAAAGATACTCACAAATTCTGTTGCATTCTTACTCACCCAAGGCAACGCCTTCTTTCCATGCGAGGTGTGGCCCCCCATGGTGCTTCAGCAACATGAGTTCTGCTGCGTCCCAACAACACATGTTCACGGGGAGAACAGCTCCTGTCTGCCAGTTCCCGGCTGCTTACTTCCAGACCACGTATATGCACGCTAGGGCGACCTGGATCACTCAAGGCTCGTAATGCCAGGTTATTAGCTGGAGATGCAGGTGTTTTAGAAGTGCTGAGAGGACCCTGGCTTTTCTTCCTGCTGTCTAGGGCATTGCTTCGGCCAGGAGAACAACGTGGGGAGCCCTTGGGGCTAGTAAGTGGCTGGAAGAGAGAAGTTAAACTACAAGAGGAACCAAACTTGGCCCCAAGCAACAAGCCATGCTTAGGTGAAGAAGAAGCACTGATGCTGCATGCACGGGCTCGGGGAACAGAACTGTCTTTGGGCGTGACCTGTGACTTCCCTGAAGATCTAGGGTATTGTAACAGTTTTTTCTCCAAGGATGTTCCTTCAGCTAGTCCCTCAGCTGGTCTCTGACCCCCTCTCTTCTTTTCTACACTGCTGTCACTAGACAGAAGGCATGTTTTGCCTTCCTGCTGAACCTATGGAGAAAGAGAGATTAGAGGAAAAAAGAACCATGGTCAATCCCAGATATTGCCTTCACTGTTTCTTTTAGCTAATTTACTAATCCACTGAAATATGTAAGATGTCCTCCCTTGAACCAGGAGCCTTCCAGCTTTATGGTCTGGATCTTCCAGGATAGTTAGCAATGGCTGGAACTACGAAAGGCTGATTTAAACTTTTTTTCAGCTTTTGAGGAAGGCTGAATTCATTCTATCACTGGAATTTCTGCCATCACTGGGAAAACCTATCCTCACTCACTAACTCCTTCATAACATTTTTCCCCAGTCAGCTAACTCCCAACTCCTTAGAGCCACTTTAACCTCTCACTCATCTCAAGTCTAAAGAAAATTACCGTATTTTTCAGAGTATAAGACGCTCCAAGACACTCCGAAGTATAAGGCGCACCTAGCTTTTGGGGAGGAAAACAAGGGAAAAATATCTGCTTCTGCCTCTCAGTAATTTGCCTCCTTGCAACAAACAGCAAACAGTACAGACAATATACACTTTGTAGTGTTACATATCAGACTATACTTGTACAGATGCTGTTAAAATTGAAGTGTTTTCAGGAAGTATAGTTATTCTCTGTTATTTAAAAGAAGATACAATGGCACTGGGCCTCTTCAGATCAAGCATTTGTTTTAAAAAGCTTCATTTTGTTAAGCTGTCTAGAACAATAATAAAGCAGTCTTTAAAAAATAAGTCTAATAATTTGAAGATTCTATAGGCATTTATAGTTATAGACTTACCTCCTTGCAGCAAACAGCCTGATTAGCACAAGAAAAAAAGTCTGCCTCTGCCTCCCAGCAATTTCCACTTTTTCAGGCTGCTGAGATTACTATAGCTTATTGCAGCCTTGCAAGCTCTCGTTTGCTGCAATGAGGCAAATTGCTGGGAGGCAGAGGCCAAAGAGTTGGGGCCAGTGAGTGAGTAGGGCTACATTCAGTGTATAAGACACACCCAAATTTTTACCCTCTTAGAGGCGGGGAAATGTGCATCTTATACTCCGAAACATACGGTAGGCTTTTCAGGTGATAGTCTCCACAGCCATTCATCTCATTCAAAATCCCTAGCAAGAAGTCTCAGGATTTGAAGAAGTCATAAGCCTTGACTGCTCATGAGTGTATTAGCAAGATTTTTAAAAAATAAGGAAAGGAAAGCTTTGATCCTAGAATTTTTCCTTTCCATTCGGGGAGAATAACTGCCTAGGTTCATTTTTTTTAAAGCTCCTATAGTGGATACAAACTTTAGGCCTAATTATTTCCTTTGTTCAATTACATTCAGTATAGCCAACTCGTCCCAGAGAAACAAATCTTAATTACCTGTAGGTTTTTTTTCTCCTGCTGCAATAACTCAAGACACCGGTTGCTGAGTTGGACAAGTCCATGAAGGGCTTCATCTACCTCTTGATAGAGCCTTGTGGCATCCACAGCTTGATTACTACAAGATGGGGAAAATATTACTTTGGGGCAACACATTTAAAAAAAGCATTTGCTCAGAAGGAACAAATTAATCTCAGACAGGACCCATTTGGACATAATGAATTAATTTCCAAATGCTGATGAATTACAATTCCCAGCAGTTCTCACCAGACTCTCCAATGTATCCTAAGTCACAAACAATTGGGTGGAGGGACGCCAACTGCCCACTGCTTGTGTTTTAAAGGGCAAATGTGAGAAGAATGTTTTTAGAAAAGCATTCAGATAAACATCCAGCAAGAGTTATCTAAATAATTCTTCATTATCTATGAAGAACAAAGGCTGAGAATAGGGAATTGGCTGGAAATTCAATATATTTCTAGGCTAGAGTGCTGAGGTGCTTACAAGGGTGTTATGTAGTAGGGTTTTTTTCTGAAGGCTTAAAACAAGGGAAATGTTGCCTCTCCACCTCCCTTCTTATGCTTTAGGAACAAACTGCAGTCATCTGCTAATGTTTATAATACCTTCTTAATGGACTTTGAAAAACAATTCTTGTTTTTCATAGGAAAAGAATTTCTGTAACTGCCCTATTAAGATAAGAAACAAAAGGCAAAGTATATCCCACAACAGAGACGTAGATGGAAAAATATTCAAATAAAATATAATTAGTACTTCAGCTGACTTACTATGGTGGCTATACCCATGTAACCAAAAATTGTTTTCATTATGGCAAGTTGTCAAACTGCTATTCCAACCCATAAATAAAATAGCAAATACAAACACTTCTTGATGTCACTTTATTTTACAAATTCACTGCACAGGAGATCTCACTGTAGAACAGTGAAGAGTACTTAAAGAGTTCTTGGGATTTTTCATCTACAGGTAATTTTATATACCTTAGATAACCAAAAGGAATGTGGAATGTTTTAGAAAAGGAAGCAAAGACCATCTGCACTATTATTGTACAAGTAAGTAGTCCTTGACTTACAACCACAGTTGAACCCAACATTTATGCTGCTAAGTGAAAAATTTGTAAAGTGAGTTTTGCCCCATTTGTGACTTTTCTTGCCATGGTTGTTAAGTGAATTATAACAGCTGTTAACTTAGGAACATTGTTGTTAAGTGAATCTGGCTTCGCCACTGACTTTGCTTGTCAGAAGGTCACAAAAGCTGATCACATGAACCTGGGCCACTGCAATGGTCATAAATATGAACCAGTTGCCAAGCATCCTAGTTTTGATCACATGACCATGGGGGTGCTGCAATAGTCGTTAAGTGTGAAAAATGATCATAAGTCACTTTTTTCAATGCCATTGTAACTTAAAACGGTCACTAAATGAACTGTTGTACGTCGAGAACAACCTGTATTATTTTCTCAAACTGGTCCTCACCTGCAAGGTCCCGATGGAGGTAGCCGTGCCAGCAAGGAGCCCCCCCGGCGCTGGAGCTCCAGTAAACGAGGCTCTGAAAGCAATTTCTGCATAGTGTCCTGGTGCAAGGCGATTTGAGTTGACAGTTCCTACAAAGATAAAAAGGTACAGATGATAACACAGCAAAGGGTAATATACAGGGCCAACAAAATGAGAAGGGTTCTCCCACAAAGACTGAAAATTAACAAGCCTCCGTAAAAGAAACCCACTGTTTTGTACATTCTATGCTTTAAAAATTAATGAATTTGCCATAGTTGTATTATTTATCTTGTTTCTTTTGGTCACAGGGAACAGCGGACATCAATACAAATTCCACTTGGAAAAATATTTCCAATGAATGACCTAGTTCTTATGAGTACTTATTTTTCACTGAGATGGCAAACATTAGTTGGCTTGTACCACTTCCAATTGAAAATGTGGTTCTTAGTACTGACTGCCTCTTCACTGTTAATAAAAATAGTCCTTTCTTTAAGAAACCTGGAAGACTACAATTTTATATGCCAGACATCTTTATTCTGTTTCTTTAAAGAATGTACCGCATGATTCTTAACCATAAAAGCCAGCCTGGTGACCTTAGGCCACTCATTCTCTCAGCCCAACCCAACTCATTTGTAAAAATAATAAAGGTTATTTGTAAAAATAATAAAGGTGAGGTACAATAAATAAGCACTGGAATAAATAAATCTTGCGGTCTAAAGGGGTAGAGCTCAGCAACTCTCCTACTACTTCTGTGAGAACTGGTTTGAACTTATGAATGTGGAAATATATTGGTGAGGCTCTACAGCAGAGGTCTTCAACCTTGGCAACTTTAAGACTTGTGGACCTCAACTTCCAGAATTCTCCAGCCAGCTGCTGGCTGAAGAATTCTGGGAATTGGAGCCCATAAATCTTAAAGTTGCCAAGTATGAAGACTTCTGTTCTACAGGGAGTAGCTACAGAAGATCTTAGAAAGATTTTTTTTCCTGGTGGGGCAGATGGAGCTTCTTTAGAGTCATCAGATTTTTATTGGGATTCAATGCAGAATAAATGAAGTATGTGCAAGATTATTAGGAATGATTCAATTATCTACTCTGTCCAGTTTTGGATGCTCACTGCAACTATCATGTGAGTAGTCAAACTGATAGGATGTGACAAGTAAGTTATCTGCAACACAGACAGTATATCATTCACCAGTCTGATAAGAAAACGAATTGGATAATAAGATAAAATGGGAAGAAGGGGAAAATAAAGTATTGGAAGGATAAAATGATCAAAAGAAAGGTGTTCTCTAATGCAGGAATCCCCAGGCAGTAGACCAGTACTAGTCCATGGCCTGTTAGGAACCGGGTCGTACAAGAAGCAAGTGAAAAAGCAAAGCTTCATCTGCTCATGTGCCGGATTTAGGTTGCAGATGAAACCATTCCCCCTTCCCATATGTGGAAAAATTGTCTTCCATGAAACTTGTCCCTGGTGCCAGAAAGGTTGGGAACCGCTCCTCTAAGGAGTATATGTGTGAGACCCAAGAGCAGTTGTCCTAGGATCTCATGCCTGGCAGCACAATTGAATGTAAATGATTTATAATAGGCTACAGCAAAATTTTATTCAGAAATGAGGTTTACTATGTTCAGCATGATTTGCTTTAAAGCAATATGAGTCCAGTTGCAAGACCAAGAATTTATGATACTGTATATTTATGATTTTGTAAGAGCAAACCTTACTCCCTACTAGCACTGATGTTACCTAGTTTGGTAATGAAAACAGAAAAAGAAAAGATCTAAGCTCAGAAAGCCCCAAGGCCCCGGACAATTCAACCCTGATTTACCTGTATTCTCTTCTATTGGTATTTATCATAAAGCCATAAGCAGATACATGTATCCATACAACTTATTGTGTATCATTAAAATGAGTACTTGTATGGTTTCTCATTTCTCATTTTATACTTTTGCTACTTTTAGTGAAAAACATAGCCACAATTACACATATTGCTGATTTCAAATGATAACCCAAACTCCTGCTAAAGTGTCTTTGTTTAAAAGCCAACTATTCAGATACTTAATTATTGTGTCACTGTAAAGAGAATTAAAACAACCTTCCATTGCACATTTTTGTACTGTATATTGGAGAAGAAAACAGAAGAATCTACCTTAGGCTGCTTCTAAATATATCCATGGGCATAAAATGTCGGAAATCTCATACCATTTGGAGCAACATTTTGGGAAATATTAGTAGTTTCATGTGAAAACTGCTCAGGATTGATTAAATGATATTTCAGTAAATTTTAAAATAGTATTGTTTTCTTTGAATTTCTGAATATCCCATAAGCTATTTAGAGTGTTGGTAAATATTTTGGTCCTGGGAGGTGCTTTTTGTCTGCTTTTTAAATGTATATTAGTTTAGAGCAACTGACTCAGTCCACTAGCACTTATTTTCACTCTTGGTATCTAATGAACTCCCTCAACTGGGAGATTACTCAGAGAAGCAAGAGTGAAAACTGGTATCTTATGTTGACTACTGCTGCAACTCTATTCCAAGTACTAGCAGGAGGAGAGGCTACTTCTCATTGCATAATTCAATTGCATAACCTCATAGCTTCTGTATACATATCACATGGGTTTACCTCCTGACTTGATGCTGTTCCCACTGCGTTGAGGTGGTCACTGGCTTCACACACAGTCTGGAGAACACCACAGCAGAGATCTTGTAGTTGTTCAAGAGCCTGGTTAGATACAGAGATGGGAGGAGGGAAGGGCCAATTGTTTTATGGAAGCAGAGAGTTACAATATATTTTAATAAAGGACTAACATAAGAATGTCCAAGTTAGAACTACATCTGAAGTGGATGGTAAGATATGTGCTGAAATTTAAAGCATCTATAATATATAAAAGCTATATATGGAAGACGGAAACATTAACTACATATTCTTGAAGGAAAAAGGCAGGAAAGCTTCTTGCAGGAAACGAGGGAGGCTGCTTTAGTTCTTGGAACAATTCTTTATGTCAATATAAGGTCCACTCATTACTATTTTCCCCATACCTGATGTTCTCTAACCCATTTGGGTGGCGAGTAGCTCAGAGTCCCACCTAGCGCTGGTGTCAACTGATCCAAGGCCACATAATGTGGAAGTTCATGCAGCAAAAGAAGCCGGATTTCCTGCAGGATAAGGAGACTGAATCAGATACAGAGAGTTCCCAAATTCCTTTTCAATAATATCCAATATCTTGTCATCACTCTTCCTTACCTCAGCCATGAACCCTAGGTCAAGGCTAGACCTAAAGTGATGTTAGAAATAGTTAGTAACATCATAATATTTGAAGGACAAAAATACACAATAAAATGTTTATTTTGTCCGGGGAAAAGTGTATTTTTTCTTCGTGCAACAACTTGCATAATAGAAACAATACTTATTTCCTCCTCACCGCTAACTCTTAATATTATTTGCATGCATACATTTTTTTGCTATATCCTCCAAATTATTTAAGGGAGTAGATACACAGCTCTATCAATCCATTGATTTGATCTAGGAATGTGTTAAATAAATTATACACAGAGACCCTATGAGCTAAATTTGGTTAATGACCCAACTCATACACTTCGGTCTAGAGAATGTCCAGAGGTTTATGTAATCACATAATCATAAGCTACCTCCTTCCTGTATCATTAGATTTCAGTGCAATTTCAGCCCAAAACTTACCAGCCCTAAAGCAGAAAATAATACATTGTACAGCTTTTTCTTCATTATAAGATAAAGGCATTATTGACGAAATGTCTCGACTGGATAGAAAGGTAGAGTTAAATAAACAGTAAATTGCATTTCAGATGGCCAAGAGTTTGTAAGTTTCTTTAGCAGTCCAGTTTTTCTATAGTGGACTTGCCTCCAGTTAACATGTAGATTCTCACCATGGCAAAGCATGCATTAACCAGAATTATTGAAAAAGCTACAGTTAGCTGGATTGCACAACATGTTAAACCAGGAGTACCCAACCCTTGGGCCATGATCCGGTACCAGGACATGGCCCATTCAGAACCAGGTTACACAAGTGGCAGGCGAGTGCGCAATTGCATGTAGTTCCACTTACACAAGCGCGGGGGGGGGGGGGGCAACTGCACAAAGTTCAATTTGCATGAGCAGTGGGCACTTCTCACTTGTGCAAACGCAGCTACATACACGTGCGCACTTGTCCACCGCTCAGGCAGAACCATCCTCTTTCCCTTCTGCCGCAACCACTAGTCCACAAAGACAGAAAGGTTGGGGACTGCTGTAGTAAACCTTTAGCCACTGTTTGTACCAAACTCTAAACTAAAAGCCAATCAAACCACATCACAGTTTAGTAAAATGTGTAATCCCACCCAGTGTTATCAAATGACCATCCCATGGGACATTGATACATGTACAAAAAGGAGTAAAGTTTCAGTCACTTAGTTGTGACTTCCATCTTGATTTTGATCAGGAGTCCTGAGCAAAATGCCTCTAACCATGACCTAGATATCTTTCCCTGCCCATATTCTCCCTTCTTCTTCAGCAAACATTCCTCCAGGAAATAGTTTTCAGTAGAAGCCCAGAGTTCTTACCACAGCAGGTTCTAGGGTCAATTCTTCTTCATGCGGTACAAAACGATCATCAGATGGTAATATCACCAACAGCTGACTGATGGGAGTTGGTGTAGTCTCCTAAATAATAAAAGATTTTGCTTCACAGGCTCATAAAAGTTGCATACAACAGTCAGAAGCAAATGGGAGGGAATTCTGTTCTACAGAGCCAGAAAGTGAGGCATGAGAAGGTACCTTGTTCTCCAATATATTTTTCTGGCCCACACTCGTGTAAGTTCAGTTCTCCTCTCCCCACCCAGCCGGGCTGCCAAGCTGCAAAGGTTGGGGACTGCTAATCTAAGGCTTAGCATGGTTTCCATTATAAAACAATGAAAGTTTGGGGGGTTTTTTTCCGGCTACCACCGTTTTGTTGATGGTATAAATCATATCAAAATCACATTAATGCATACAATTTATATCCCATTCCTCCTGAGTGTTATTTAGTGACATAAATAACATGCAGGAGCATAAAAACCTGCTATTTAAGTTCATATTTTGAAGTTATTACAAATGTACTATTTTATTAAAATGGTAAATAGACCCTCAGGCTGCTTACTGAGGGCCAAAGGAAAAAACTATAGGTTCACTTTCCCAACTTTGGTGTCATTCATATGCACTGGGTTGCATTTCCCATCATCCCCAATTAGAACTATAGGAAGAAGAGAAAGGCAGCTGAGTCAGGATGATACCTGGAATGCTCTTAAAGCTGGCAGCAATACGGGGGCCTGGAAGGCCCAGTCATCCACATGGCTTAAGTCCAACAGCACTGTCAGCCCAAGAATCTTTAGTTCTTGCCTGGAACACAGGTGAAAAAAAACACAAGTAGAGTTGCTTTCTTTTCAGCATCACGTTTGCCAGTTTGACTTAACATAACACTTATCAAAAAGGCCAAATCATAGGAAAATTGGGCAAAATGATTTGTCTGGAGGCATTTCTAAGAGCTTTTGTATGAGAGGGGGGGGGAGGGAGGGAGAAGAGATTGATTCTCGCTTGGTAAAGTTTTGTCAGGTGTATAGATTTTTATCATAAATGCATGCAATGGTCAGAATGGTGGAACGCGGTGGCTCAGTGGCTAAGAGGCTGAGCTTGTCGATCAGAAAGGTCAGCAGTTCAACGGTTCGAATCCCTAGTGCCACGTAATGGAGTGACTCCCGTTACTTGTCCCAGCTTTTGCCAACCTAGCAGTTCGAAAGCATGTAAAAATGCAAGTAGAAAAATAGGGACCACCTTTGGTGGGAAGGTAACAATGTTCCATGCGCCTCTGGCATTTAGTCATGCCAGCCACATGACCACGGAGACGTCTTCGGACAGCGCTGACTCTTCAGCTTTGAAACGGAGATGAGCACCGCCCCCTAGAGTCAGGAATGACTAGCACACAGTTGTGAGGGGAACCTTTACCTTACCATTCTATTTGTAAATGGCTTCTAACTGAGGTAGTCGCTAAATAGGGTGTGTGTAATTATCAAACCTGTTACAAAGTACTAAATCAACAATTGGATATAGATTATAGTAAGAATGATAATAAATATAATGAATATGGATAAATCTTAACAAATCAGAATTTTCACTCCAGTAACAAATATGGTAGCCAATATACTCCCTAAATTTAAAATAACCTTGAATATTATTGACTATTATTATATAATCTTGAGTATTACTGTATCTATACTGTGGATATTAATAATTCTATGTTATTTCTTTGAAAAATTAAATGACTGCCTATTATCCTATAATGCAACATAATCTGCTAAGAAACACATAAATCAAAATTAAAACTCCAGTTTATTTTAATCAAAGATTGTGTGGCAACCTATACAGAGGAAGAAGATTTAGCTCATTTTCATAACTGCTATATTCTACTAGCTTATGAATAACCTCTTCCAAATAAGAAAGCTCAAAGGCATTTTTAGTATTTGGGGTCAAAACAACCATCCTTTGCAAACAAAATGCTTTTAAGCTAATTGGATTCTTAATGGCTTCCCATGGCAGTTTCCTGACAGTTCTGATTTTATGAGAAGAATTTCCTGAATTTTTCACCTGCCTCAATGAATTACTTCAATCTTTTGGAAGGGAGCCTTGACTGCTTCATCTGAAGGCAATTTGATATATAGTACAGCCATTGCATCAGTTGGACTGACCTAGTGGATTTTTAGCTGATTTTGGCAAGACAACTTTCTTTAATAAACTAGTTAACTTTGTTGCCTGTGACAAGGGAAACAGCATTCTGACTAAGCAAGGGCCTAAGTATATCACTTATTTACAAATTATAGCTAAAAGCCTTAAGACAAGGTAACATGGCAGCAGCCTCTTACTCTATATATCTGGGCATTCCTCATTTATCACGCTATCATCTCTGGCTTAACAAATGCTAGAACATAGCAGAAGCAGATCGAAGTATTTTGTGAGCATCTTGTCAGTGATATGTGTGGCTTGAACTACTTTTGTCTCTAAACTCTGACATTGGTAATGATGACAAGAGAAGGTAATGAATCCAGACTGCAATACAGTCACTGTCACTGAGACTCAGGAAGAACAATTCTGGAGAAAGACTGACAGCAGCATCCCAGCAGTGGTTCCTTGATGCTGTTATCTCCTTTTGTCTTGTCAGGAAATTTTTGTTACCTGAGAAGTGAGTGCATGTATCTTAAGGTATTAACCAGATCCTCTTGTCCTGGAGGCAACTCATCCTGAAGAGGCTGGGGCACTATGGTTAGCAAGGAATGGCCAGCCTTGTCTATTCCTCCTAGTGTGGAGAGAAACAGAAGGAAAATATAAGCTTTAAGTCATAACTTTATCCCAAATTGCAATGCTTCTGGCATCCACTGCAGTAAACACAAAATATGAGTTGGCTTCCCGGTTACCAAACCTCATAGTTAGGGCCAAAACAGTCTGAATTCAGCAGCCATCCACATGACCACTCCCAGATATTCAGAATTTCAACAAAGGAGTGCATGGAAAGAACCACATTCCTACCAACCACACTGGATGAATTATGATCTCTAGTGCTTTATAAGATTTAAACCACTTGTAGGATTTTTTCCCATTCTCCACAAATAGTCTTTGCTGGGTGCATCAGATTGCTGCAAACCACAAAAAGAACTGCACACCAAATGGAACAGCACCACATGACCATTTATTTATATGACTTGGGTTACCATATTATAAAAAGTGCATATCTATCATACTCCATTAACAACTCTCCAAAATAAAAAAAAATGAATTTCACTTGAGCATTTATGCAATTTTCATAAATTAAAATTTCTCTTGATTTGTTTTCCCCTGCCTTGGCTGGAAAAGTGAAACAGAGTGACTTCCAAGCTTTGTGACATGGAATATGATCGATGTAAATAACCCATGACACTGACATTGGGCTGTAATTCCCAACCTCAGGACTACTGTACATCTGTCTTAAAACTATGTATTAAGGATATATTACATGAATAATAAAAACCCTTGGTTTTCCTTACGAAGTCAATACTAATTGCAGCACCAGCATTTTATAAGCGTATGGAAAGTTGAAATGCAATTACTTTCAAGAAGAAACAGAAGTTGGGATCTTTATTTACGCAGATACAAAGCAGATGTGGAAGACAGTTCTGAGGACAGACCACTGGAGTTCATAAGCTACACCAACCTATCAGACCAAAATAGATTGTGTCTGCATGTGTGTCTATAAGTGTGTGTTCTACAGGAAGAACATCTGAGCTCATTTTCTCCATTAAAAAAAACAACTGCTTCATCTTCCAAATTGTATGTTGCTGGAAAAATGCTGTAACTTCCCCCACAGATCCAGTATTCCATTTCCTACAACATATCATGTTGCAGCAAATACAAAATACATACATTTGGAGTCTGGGAGAAGTTAACATAAGGTCATTTACAGAGGAAAAATTCCCCATCTCCTCCTCCTACCGATAGCAAATTGTGAAATCCAAAAGTTTCAGGAGAATGAGAGAAACAATCAGGGATAAAGAAGGGGTGGGGAAGAGAGAAAGTTGCTAGAAAACAGAAATAGCCTGAATCAGAATCCCATTTTATGCTAACATAGCTGAACATTAAAGATGAAATTTTTGTTACCAAGTTTTTGTGGGAAGATGAGTTAAAGGCGAGAGGATAAGATGAAGGACATCTTCCCATTAACTGCTGTAAGACTGCAGTTTTATCCCAAACGGTATTTTCCCATTGTGATGGATCAGTTTCTATCATTCCAAGTCAGCAGATTCAATGATTAAAAAAACAAATCTGTTTATAGACATGTTTGTGTAGGATTGGGGAGGGGGACAGAAAAGAGTGGTTATCTGGAAAGGTTACTTGCAAGTATTGTTTATGTGCTATTCTTGCCATTTGTAATTGGATTGGATAAGAGCCAAGGTGGCGCAGTGGTTAAATGCAGCACTGCAGGCTACTGCTAGATCATGCTAGATCAGCAGGTCAGCGGTTCAAATCTCACCGGCTCAGGGTTGACTCAGCCTTCCATCCTTCCGAGGTGGGTAAAATGAGGACCCAGATTGCTGGGGGCAATATGCTGACTCTTTGTAAACCGCTTAGAGAGGCCTGAAAGGCCTATGAAGCGGTATATAAGTCTACTGCTATTGCTATAAGTCTACTGCTACCCATTTTTATAGTACTGAACAGAGCCAAGCTACATCTGGTAAGAATATTTTCAAGTGTTGAGAGATTCAACATAATGTCCTCCTACTAAAATCAATGAGTTGATTTTTTTAAAAAATAAATAAGTAGCATATTACTAAAGAAACATTTTCCTGCTAAATAATACCATTCAGCTTACCATTAATGATGCTGAAAAGAGAAGCAGTAGGATTTGGCATTGTACATGACCAGCAGGAGTACAAGTTAGATTCAGAGATAGTATTCAGCAGGTTCTGACCATTTCTGGAGAACCGGTAGTGGAAATTTTGAGTAATTCGGAGAAACTGTAAATACTACCTCTGACTGGCTCCACCCCCATCTATTCTCTGCCTCCCGAGTCCCAGCTGATCGGGAAGAAATGGGGATTTTGCAGTAATCTTCTCCTGGAGTGGGAAGGGAATGGAGATTTTACAGTATCCTTCTCCTGCCATGCTGACCAAGCCAAATCCATCAAGCCATGCCACGCCCATAGAACTGGTAGTAAAAAATATCGAATCCCACCACTGGTTAGATTGTAATGTAATGTAATGAAATAACATGGGCAATAGCAAACCACTTCTGTATTACTATTAAGAAAGCTACCTATGTAGTGATATTTAGTCACCAAGTCTTAAACTCAGACTGACTTTTTCTTTTTCAACAGTTTCAGGATCAATCTTAACAGAAGATGATGTAAATCTATGTATTCTGATGTAGAGGATAGAGAGAATGGCCTTGAGGGACAAGAAGAAGAGCAAGATCAATGTCAAACAAAAGAGAACTGAGTCTAGGGCAGAAATAGAATCTCAGTAAATTTCTCATACTAGCTTCTTTCTAATTTTCACAAAAGTAAAGAGAGGGAGAAGCACATTTGGATTTGCAAGATTTTATTTCTATACTTTGCAATAGAAGATTGTACAATACAACAGGTTCCTGGTTTGCTCTACCTTGAAGCCTCACATCTAGTGACTGGGATATCATTTTAGAAACTCAATTATTTGGAATCCTGTACTTCAGAGACAATAATCAATCAATATCAGAAAGTGTTATGGTCATTCTTTCTACTTAATTCTCACACGCAGAATGGGTAAAAGTTCCTAGAATTTGAGAGAAACAGATTCTTGCCAAACTGGATAGAGATGCCAAGTAATAAAAATATATAGAGAAATTATTATTCAACAGAGCAATTCTACGGTAAGTATTAAACCTATTATGAGTCTTCACAGCAATACTGAAATTTGGTAGAAATCTGAGCCTTAGGTTACTTATAGTAGTATTAATCATATGTGATACAGAGGGAAAATGTAGACTAAATATTGAACAAAATGACAATATAAATATTCTATGAATAGTAAAAAAAGGCTATATAATTTGAAAAACGAGGTTGAAAGCTTTAGCTCAGAATTTCCCAATGTAGCATTTGCCACTTAGATTTTTGTCTGCTTTTCATTTGGAGTTCAGTGTGCCACTATCAATTCTAAGAGATTAGTTAGACTGAGAGAATATGAGTGGCTCCAAGTTACCCAGTGAGATTCTATGCTCAGGATTACAACCTGGGCTTTCCCACACTTTGTTTAACCATTGTATCAATGCTGTACCCCTAGTATGAAGGGTACCAAATTCAAGAAGACTGGTCTAAGTCTGAAAATATTTCCATAAGACAAAGTTTGGAATTTTATTTGATTAGAGTCAGGATGGATTTGATTTAAATCAAGTCAATTTAAATCACGATTTTAAATCATGATTTAAATCACGATTTAAATAAGTAAAAAAGCTTGATTTAAATCAACTTGATTTAAATCATAATTTTTAAAGAGCACCTGTCATCTCTGTCCTGCAGCAGCTCTTCCTCTGATCCACTGTTGACTTATCAATAGTCTCAATATTGCAGAATATACAGCCGCATGCTACATAACTAAGCTCCATTTCAGGCTGAATAAATTATTAATATAGCTTAAATAGAAAACTATCTTTAAATAGATTTTAACTCCAAAAGCATTTTATTAAAATGAATGTGATAAAAAAATCTGATTAAAATTTTTTAAAATCATTTTTTTATTTTAAAAAAAATAATTGATTTTTATCCATGATTAGAGTAATAATTTCTAATTCTAAGTAATAAGTAGTTATGCTAAATAGCAAATTATAATGCTTACCTTTAATCTTTGTCATTTGAAAATGCTAAATTTATATATTTCTGAAAATTGTACATTAAATATGTACTGTTCCTGCCACCTCCTTTGGTCATCATACAATCCTTGCCTGTCATTACTGATTATATACCATTATCAGCTATTTGAGGTAGTTGGATAAAGAAACAGATGTCACAAGGACTTTGTTTTATCACTAAGAAACTTGGAAGCCTGACAGAAATTTTCTATTTTTTCTCATCCCTTTCTTTCTTTTAGGATTAAACAGGCATTCAGCTAACAGTTATTAATATCTTTTTCAAGGCATCTCCTTTCTCCATTACATCCAGGAGTATTTTCATCTTTCTCTAATATGAGTTAGAATGGCTAGCAAAAATAGTATGAGCTGAAAATTCAACTGTTTTATCAGCTGGATTGTATAATTTATGACCAAATAAAAAAAATTCTGCGTAAAGAATGCTCTTTATGGTAGTATGTTTTTAAAGAACTCAACTCTAAAAATATTCACTCCTCCTTTCAAACTACTGTTCTGGAGCCTCACTGAAGCTATTATATTTGTGTCTAAATAATGATCATTGAAAGCACACAAATATTCATCCTGTAAATAAAAAAAGGTGTTTCTTGGCCACTGGAGACTATATTACACCTACTGTACACAAGATGTAAAATAAAATCTGCACTTGCATGACTAAGAATGAATGAACATTCACATTACCTTGCCTGCTTCAAACATGTTTTTCCAGAGACAAGAACTATCTACAACTGGGGATCTTCTTCCTTGATTTGGTATATCTCTAAAATGCAGTTTAATTAGTTATTTAGTTATATGACTACAGTTTGTTCCTCCCAGTCCCTATGTAGCTACTTCAGTTTCAGGAAATGAGGTAGCATCTAATCAAACATTTCCTTCTCAATAGCATCCAAGTAGTATCTTGGAAAGTTTATAAGGCATTAAG